TATATATATGCATGTTTACAACAACTTTGATGTTGATTCACTAATGAATGCAGAAACCAAAGCAAGTGGAGGTTGAACAAATTGTCATAGATTTGAAAGAAGAAGTGAGGAAAGATATATCGGCAGCTTTGGATGTTCCGACACAGCATACTAATTTGTTAAAGCTGATTGATGCAATCCAACGCCTTGGCATAAGCTATTACTTCCAAGACGATATTGAGAAAGCCTTGCAACATATTTACGACACGTACGGCGATGATTGGACCGGTGATAGCGTGTCCATTTGGTTCAGGCTCTTGCGACAACACGGCTTCTATGTTTCATGTGGTTAGTATATATGCATACAGACATCTTTTTATGTCTTTATCAGGTGAAAGATGAAAAGAGCTGAACATGTTATCTTATGAATTGGAACAGATATCTTCGACAGTTATAAGGACGCAAACGGATGTTTTAACGAATCGTTAACCAATGATGTTCAAGGCCTGCTTGAGTTGTACGAGGCGTCGTATATGAGGGTGCAAGGCGAAGTTGTACTAGATGATGCTCTTGCTTTTACAAGATCTCGTCTTCGCAATGTAGTCATTAAGGATCCTCTTTGCAGCGACTCAACCCGAATACGAGAGGCCCTAGAGCAACCGATACTGAAACGATTGCCGAGACTAGAGGCGTTACGCTACATTCCTTTCTACCAAGAAGAAGTTTCACATAACGAGTCCTTACTTAAACTTGCCAAGATAGGGTTCAACCTGCTTCAATCACTCCACAAAGAGGAGCTTAGCCAAGTTTCCAAGTATGTCCCCATCCTTTCTAGTTTCATTCATAAATAAATCAAAATTAATTTCTTTTCTATATTTTTATTGAAGATATGATTTTTTTTTCTTCAATTAAACTTAGGGGTGGCAATGGGTCAGGTTGGGTTGGGTTGGGTTTGGGTTAACTCAATTAAACAGGTTGAAAATCTTAACCCAACCCAACCTATTTAATTAAATAGGTTGAGATTTTTCAACCTAACACAAACTGTTACCTAAATGGATTGACAATGAGTTGACTTATTTACGATTTTCATAACTCAACCTGTTAAATAAATAGGTTGAAACTGAGTTGACTCATTTAATTTTAAAATTTTAAATAAAAAAAGGACTAGACTGTTTAATTTTTTTGAATAAAACACAACCACAAATACAAACAAATTGTTCAAAGTTTGAATAAAACACAACCACAACAAATATATTGTTCAAAATAAGTTGGATTGGACTTTGGAGGCGATAATGGAGTAATGGACTAAAGGGTTTTCTTAGGGTTTCATGATGATTAAGAGTAATAGAAGCGATTGAAATTTGGAGTTTCATCTCACGACGGTAGAATTTTTAATTAAGAATAAAACAAAATTAAAATTAGAATACTAGATATAATATTAAGAATAAAGTAAAATTATATAATATTTTAAACGGGTTGAAAACAAGTTGAAATATTCAACCCAACCCAACCCATTTATTTAAATGGGTTAGTCGGGTTGACCCATTTATTTAAATGGGTTGAAAATCTCAACCCAACCTGCTAGTTTTGGGTTGGGTTCGGGTTGAGTTAGTGGTTGGGTCATTTTTTGCCACCTCTAATTAAACTACTATATGTGCATTAAATTATCGTAGGTGGTGGAAAGGTTTCGATATCCCGAACAAGTTATCGTATGTAAGAGATAGAGTGGTGGAATGCTATTTTTGGTCATTGGCCGTCTACTTTGGACCTCAATACTCTCGAGCTCGAATTTTCGTAGCTAAAGTGGTTTTGATGGCAACGATTCTTGATGACACTTATGATGCTTATGGTACTTATGAAGAACTTGAGATCTTTACTGAAGCGGCTCAAAGGTATGCATGTATTCAAACATTTACTTTTAGAGTAAGAGGCAACCTCTGAACCTGGTTGTTTGTTTACCTCTTAATAATTTCATTAAGAGGCAACCTCTTAATCGTTAAGAGATGAATCTTGTTTGGCAAAAAAAAAATATGTCTCCTAATGGTTCTAAAACCCTCTGAATGATTTTGTATCATGTATCTTCCTTAATCATTAAAAGCCCTAATTTCATTGTATACATCACATCAATTCATTTCGGGCCCTTAAAACATAACATCCTAATGAAGCAACTTGTTTGTTAATTATAGGTGGTCGATTACGTGCTTAGATATGCTTCCAGAATACATGAAACCGATATATCAAGGACTCCTGGATATGTACAAAGAAATGGAAGAAATCATGGAAATGGAAGGAAAAACGCATCATGTTAAGCATGCCATAGAGTTTGTAAGTTTCGACACGGACCATTCGTTATAATGCATATTGTTCGCAACTACGATGTTTACTTGTGACAGTGGTTGTCACGTACAGATGAAAGAGTATATTAGAGGCTACATGATGGAAGCGAAATGGGTACACGAGGGGTATGTACCAACAATGGAGGAGCACGAATCAGTTACTCATGTAACTGCTGGAAATACCATGCTTACAGCAGCATGTTTTCTTGGAATGGGTGATATGGTCACAGATGAATCCTTCAAATGGGTTTACACAAGACCCCCTCTTTGTAAGGATGCATGTGCAGTTGCTAGACTCATGGATGATATCATCACCCACAAGGTAAATCATCCAATTTTATGATTGAAAACCCGTAGATGGCTTTTCTAACGTCTTGTTGGTTCAGCCGGAAAATTAAGCGATCTGTTTTTGTGAATAAATATGCAGAAAGAGAAAGAAAGAAAGCATGTTGCATCTAGTGTTGAAACTTACATGAATCGATACGATGTCTCGGAGGAGCATGCCCGTGATTTGTTGTACGAAAGAGTTGAAGATGTGTGGAAAAATATTGTGCGCGAGTCGCTCGTATGCAAAGATGTTCCGATGCCTCTAATAACCTGCGTGATCAACTTGGCACGGGTGATAGATGTTATCTATAAAGACAAAGATCATTTCACGTATGTGGGAGAAGTAATGAAAGGCTATATTAGATCATTGTTCGTGCATCCCATGAGCATATGAGTTTTGATTCATGTCATGGCGCATTTGACATGTTTCGCCCTTCTTCTGTAAAAATTTGATTGTTATCAAGTTCTTTCTGTTCAATAAATCAAATTTTCAAAATTGATCGGGTATACGTGTAATACTTTTTTTTTACCAACCTGTTATGCGAGCCGACTAATCCCAGAGCGACCACCTGCTTTGCACAGATAGTGTGGAGTCATCGCATGTGAACCTCCGTGGATTACCACCGGCTGTTATTTCCGGCGGATTACCGGAGGCCACTCTTTTCGTCGGATTACTGGCGGCATCTTTTCCCGATAGATTTCCGACGGATTTTTTTTATAAAAAAAATTAACTTCAATTACATTATTTTACGGCGGATCACCGGCGGCTGTTTGGTTGATCAAAAATCTGCCAGAAAAAAAGTAATTAAAGTTGATTAATCTTCTAAATTCTAATTTTTAGATATCCATCGAAAATCTTACAGAAATAAAAGATTTTATTTTTTCTAAGTAGTTTGTGGCGGATTAATGGCAGAGGTCAATGAAAGTTGACTTTTTAACATCTGCCCGTAATTTTTCGGTGAAAATGTCCGTAAAAAATAGTCAGTTTTCTAGTAATGTAGGTGCCGGACAAAATACGACATCCTTGCAAAATGAATGGATAATTGACCTCGCAACATCGATTGAGCAGGAGGTGAGTATCCTTATAGATTCAACGGATAACGAGTACATATCAATGTCGGTGGTTGCTATTGACTTTAGAACATTCCTTACAGTAGTTCGAAATGCATCAAAATTACGAGGATGTTGAATAAACAAACATAGCCAACAAAACCAAGATGAACCAAACAGTGAAAGAAGGAGACACCCAACCCCCAAGAACCCATTTTCCATCCTCAAATCCATCACCTCCGCTAAAACCCTTCTTTTCCTTGCCATTTTCTTCAACATCTTCCTCCTTTTCAGCTAACCCCATATGAGAAAGTATATGAGGAAAAACCTTCTTACAAGATTCCTCTCCGATCATCAAATCCGAGTGCCCGAATCCCTCCACAACCACCCTCTCGTGTCGAAAACTAGGATGGTGCAGCTTCATGTATTTGTTACCAAGAAAAGAAGTTTTACGAGTCACAAGAAGAGTCCTTCCACCCGATATATAAAGCGTTGGAAGCGCCATTCTCTCAGGATGAATCAGATAGGAGTTGTTTCCATTGCTGTCGACAATAAACCCTGCTTTGCAGATCTTTCTGAGATGCGGGAAAGCGGCCATGGGGAGTCTTGGGAGATTTTTCTTGTTCATCCAGATGTGAAGAGTTGATGTTATGTTATCGTGCCAAAACGCGTTGCCAAATATTCCAGAAAAGACTTCACATTCGTCGCAAGTGCATCTCTCGTAGCGCGGGATGAAACGGGCTATGGATTTTATCAGTAGTTGGTTTAGATTTGCTTTTGCTGTTTTGAGCATGGGAAGAATGGTGTTTTTTCCTAATATCATCATTGTTATCTGCAGGTTTGAGGAGCAATTTGCATGTTACTTAGACACTTAAAACAGGTGCAAAAGACAATGAACAATATGTGACATCAGATATGTCTAAATGTCCTAATAGAATGTTTTATAAGACTTAAGTTTATAGTATCAAACAATTGTGCATCCAATGTAAATTTTTACAATAAAAACGGTTTTAGATCTCCTGAACAAATATTTTAGGACAATTTTGTAATAAAGCATCATATCATGTTTGCATACACATCGTCTTATAAAAGCAATCATCCTAAAGAACTTGTTAGGATGTCTAAATACGTGCTAACATCTTATTATAACTATTTTATATAGAACGTACGATTGTTTGTTCTCATAAACTTTCGATTAAGTCATCATTTAGATTTATTTATAAAGCCAATAGTGTGTATTTACCGGGATGAGAGGAAGCCACATCTTGAACGTTGAGGAAGGTGTGAGTTTGAAGAACATGGACGAATTAGTGCACGAGAGCGAAGCGATTCTGGTCGCAGAAACATGACCTCCCAAGATGGCTATGTGAATGGCTAGGCCTCCAACACAGTGTGCAACCACATGAATCTTTATGGAGTTTTCATTCAACTTCAAGATTTTATCAATGGCTTCCGAAAAGAAGAAAAGAATAATCAGCATTACAACAAAATAGGGACGCCAAATATGTCCAAATATCATAATAAATAAACAAATCTGAGTTCTATGTAAAGGTGTTACAATAAGTTATCTCATCATTTGTCATAAAATACTTGTTATGACGTCCAAAACGATTCTATCAACCTATTGTAACACTTTTACATACGCCACACAATCTATTAGGACATTTAAGCATATTTTGCATCCAATTTCAGAACGAACATTTCAATGACTTGTGTTTATCTAATTACCTGCAGGAACATCGAATTTGCCAATGTCTTCGATAGTGAAGTTGTTTGAAGAATTAAGAGGGTGTAACCTTGGTTGTAGAAGCCATGTTTCGTGCCCTTTGTCGAGTAGAGTTCTGACCAAATCAGTTGGCTCGGTAGGAAGACAATAGCTCTCGGTGGCATACCCGTTAATCAGTAGTACTGGATATGGATTTTTCTCCCCTTCCAACCTCCAAGAATCAGCCTTTTTGATCTTCCATTGTCTGCAACCAATAACAAACCCATCCTCTGCATAAATCATGAAAAAACCCATCAACACTTCTTAGATTTCAAGTACTTTGGAATGTAAGAATATGCAGAACCCCGGATTAAGGGAGGGTCCAACATATATTGAGAATAATGTCCAAGTTTAGCCGATGTGAGACTCCAACACGCCCCCTCCATCGAAAGATAGATGGGCACAGATTGTCCCAGAAGAGAGTCAAGTTCCTAGAAGCGATAGACTCTGGTTCTGATACCATGTAAGAATATGTGAAACCCCTAGATTACTCTCTAAAAGAGCCCTTGAGAAGACATGGGAAGTTCAAACAGTAGAAATGGTCCGAGTCTAGTCAATGTGGGACTAACTCAGAGATTAATCTTTCCAGCAAGGTACCTGTTTCTATCTCATGGAGCGTACTGCTAGGATAAGACCTATCCATGAGTTCTTGCGGGCTGAAACCCATGTAATTCCCTCTTGGTTTCTGCACGATATATGTTCTAAAGAGAGATTGCAGTAAATGCCACACAAACGTCATTTTATTGTTTCCTTCCATGCTAATTAGGCTCCGCATAAGCGCGATCGTAGATATATGAAGCTCGCCCATTAAGTCCACCATTTCTTCACTGGGATCGTTCTTCGTTACATTCTTGAATGTCACTTGCAGTGTTGTTGATTCTTTCCATCCATACAGTCCTAGGAGAAAAGGGTTCATTACCTTCTTCCCTTCAAGAATGTATCTGCATGATCATATATAGCTTTTTAGCTTAAAATAACATTAAAATTAAATCGGTTTTTATACAACGCTAAATATGTCTAAATGTCTTACAATATTTTAAGTTATATGACCAAATAATTGCGTGTTCTGTGTAAAAATGTTAGGATGCCAAATACGTCATAACATCCTGTTTTAACACATTTATATAGGACGCTCAATTATTTGGTCGTCTGTTAATCAGGACATTTAGACCTTGAACCAGAAGAAGCTGCAAGAAGGAGGCTATAATGCATGAACTGTGCGTAAGGAGTTCTCATATCCACTTCACATAAGTCTACTTCTCCTTCAATTATATGTAATCTATCCTTCTCTACAGCATTGAACTCAACATATCCACCAACTATTCCTCTCAACAAAGGGTCAAAAACCGAATGCTTTTGGTCAAAATCCTTCGATGTTTTCGTGTTCATTTTCAAATCGAGATGGGCAGCACAAGGCATACCACCAATATGCCCTCTCATAACTTCTTTAAACCGAACAACGTCACATCTTGATCTCCCATCTACCTTCCAAGACCGTATCGAACCTGCACTCTTTTTATCATCTTTTTCATCAAAGAAACTTTTTCCATTTTCGCTAGCGTTGATGACATCTTCGACTAGTGCCCGACTTACATGCTCAGAGGCAGTGGCAATAGTGAGACAAGGGTTTACTCCTATAGAACAAGGGATTAAAGAGGCATCACAAACATAAAGGCCCGAGTGAACCGAAGAAGGAGACTTGGTGTCGAAAACCTGACCATTTGCATTACAAACTCCATGGAAATGATCAGAAGAGGCGTTGCAGCCGCCTAGAAGATGAACAGAAGTGCTTCTGTATCGCGACATGAACAATATCCCTCCTAATTTCTTGGTTAATTTTTGGAGCGCGTTGATTTTGCGTGGTAGCAAAGGATCGTGTGGCGGGGAGAAGCTAATTTTGTCTGTGTTTTTATCGAATGTGATTTTCCCGTCACTTTCATCATACCCCATTACGTTTAAAACCATTGCCTGGCTGCTTTCAGCTCCGAAACTATGCTTCAGCTTATCAATAAGCCCGTGCAAAAACCAGAAGCCGGTTGGCCAACCGTAAGTTGAAATCCCTTTAAAGATCAAGTACGGATAAGCTGTTGGTAACACTGCGCTCTGATCCAAAACCGGAGTAATTGTTATGGTGGAAGAACTACATTTGCAGACAATACAACAAAATTGGCTTTATAAAACGTCATAAATGTTCTAATAGAGTGCTTTATAGTGTTAAAACAAATGAAAACCCTCCAAAAGAGCCTTTGAGGAGGGAGGTTCAACATATATAGAGACACTACAACGAAATTGGGTGTAGACTAACTGACCTAATAGACTATTTTATAAGACTTAATTTTATAGGACCAAACACTTGTATGTCCTATCTAAAAGTGTCGTAATAAGTTTATAGAGCACTTTTGGGCGTCCTAATAAGCTTTTTAAGACATTTTTGTAACAAACTATAAGACATTTATGTGAAATTTTGTCTTATAAAACAAATGTCCTATAAAATGTTTCAGAAGACATCTTAAAAGTGTCATAAAAATGGCTAACATGACACTTTGCTTCAAAAATGTCCTGAAAAGTTTGTTAAGACGTTTAGAAACGTCCTATAAACTTATTCAAACACTTTTAGATAGGATACACAAACGTGTGGTCCTATAAATTATTCTATTATGACACTTCAATACTTTTGGCCTTCTATAAACCCGATTTTGTTGTACTAGGAATAAATGGTCCAAGCCTAACCGATGTGATGTAAGACTCTACAATTAGACTTACCTTTATATGATGAAACAACGGTGGGTTCTATAGGATGTTACGACGTATTTGGACATCATAACAAGATTTTTATGACACTTTTTAGAAATGTCCTACGAACACATCTTTTTACATCAACACTTCATTTTATACGACACTTTTTCTAATAATGTCATAAAAAATAACAAGATGCTTTATTTCAAAAAATTCTAAAAAAGATATTAACATCCTATCAAGTTATGGTAACACATTTATATTGCATGTACAGTTGTTTGTTTGGTCATATAAAACGTCCATTAAGACATCTAAAAAGCCGATTTTGTTATAACGAGAATAGCCAGATGATAAAAACCTGAATCGTGAACCCGAAAGAAGAAGTGTACGACGAAGAAATGGCGGGTCCGGGCCGTTGTTGAAAGGGTATGTTGGAGAACTGGTTTTTGGCCAAGCCATAAGCACCTAGTGGCTTTGTACATCCAGCAAGATAAGCAGCATTGTTGCCATTACAGCTGAATCCTTCACCAAGCCTGCCTGAGAGTTTCAATCCTCTGGTTTGTGACCTGAATAATATTTCAGCAGTACCAAACACTCCACCTACAAAATATATACCACAAACCAGTTTTCATGTGTTTTTAAATGTATGAAACATGTGTGACGATGCAGTATAAACACAGTATTGTTTCATATGTGTGACATTCAGGACTGTTTTGCTTGTGGAATGAAATAGTTATGAACGTTTCACATATGAAGCAACACTGTATACACACTGCATTTTCACAGATGTTGTTTCATGTAAGAACTGGTTTGTAAGTTTGTACTAAAATGTGGTGCCATGTATACCTGATAGTATAACAAAATCACACGTTAGATAGTCAGTCTCGTTGAGAAATACGCGCCACCTACGTACGCTTTTACTGTGGATGTTTGTGTTTTTCACCACATACCGAACTTGACAACCTGTTTTGATACTACATCCTGCCTGCATCAAAACGAAGCCGACATTTTCTTAGAAAAGTCAGTCGTCATTACAACAAAGTCGATATTATAGGATGCCAAATATGTTTAGATGTCCTAATATATGAACTTCTTTATAGAAGTTAGATGTTATATGTAAAGATATTACAGTAAGTTGATATGATGTTTTTGGACGTCTTAACAAGTTTTTTAGTACCATCTTAAAATAAAATTGTCCTATTAGTAGTTTTCTATGATATTATTTCTAAAAACATCTTATAAAACTAATGTCCTATAAAAAGATGTCACTACAACAAAATTGGGTTTATAAGACGCCCCCCAATCTCTAAGCGTCCCAATAGACCGCTTTATAGGACTTAATTTGTAGGACCAAAATATAAAGCGTTTTACAGGTGTTGTAATAAGTTTATACGACGCTTTTGGGCGTCTTAACAAGTTTTTTAAGATATTTTTAATACAAAATGTCGCATTAGCAATTTTATAGGACATTTTTTAGAAAGTGTCCTATAAACTCAATTTTTTATAGGACACTTGTTTTTATAGGACAATTTTTCAATAGTGTCCTATAAAGTTGCTAATAGGACGTTTTATATTAAAAGTGTCCTAAAAAACTTATTACGACGTCATATAAACTTATTACAATGCCTTTAGATATGACACTTTATTTTTTTGGTCATATAAACTAAATCCTATAAAGAGGTCTATTAGGACACTTAGAAATACTTAGAAATTAGGAGTGTCTTATAAACCCGATTTTGTTGTAGTTTGTGTTCATAGAACACTTCTCAAAAGCGTCCTATAACATGAGACTTCATTTTGAAAGTGTCATAAAAAACTTGTTAGGATGCCGAAATTGTTTTAATATCGGCTTTGTTAGAGTCTCACATCGGCTAGACTTAGACTACTTCTACTCTCAATATATGTCGGAACATCCTTTCTTTCCTTTAAGGATCTTTTGGAGAGTAATCCAGGATTTCCACATGTTTCTGCACAGCATCAGAGTCAAGGTCTACTACCTCTAGGGACTCCACACTCTGGGGCAATCTGTAATTGTCTAGCCCCCTCACTCGTCTAGGCCTCCTCTAGACACTTTCGGACAATTTGTGTCCATCTAGCCTCCATTGGAGGGGAGTGTCAATAAGAGTCCCGAATCAGCTAACTTTGGATTATATTTCTCTTTTATATATGCTGAAACCTTCTTTCTCTCTTCAAGGGTTCTTTTGAAGAATACTCCAGGGTTCTACATGTTCTCACAGACTAATTGTAACACATGTTCTCATAGACTTATTGTAACATATGTTGCACAATTGTTTGGTTCCATAATCTTAAGTGCTATAAACAGTTTATTAAGACATTTAGACATATTTGGAGTGATGATACAGATTAAGTACCTCAACTGCTGAGAACAAATAATTCTTGTCAGTAGAATTTTTGGCATTGTAAGGACAACCAGCAAGACAATTTCCACAAGCCATGCAGCTTCCAAGTTCTTTGGGTTTTTTGTGATGAGTTGCTGCCTGTTCTTCTATATCAAAATTTATACTCAGCTTTAACGAACTCGTTCGTTTGAATTCATCGTCATCGCCAGCCAATTTTTCCATAATTTTAGTATTCGGGAATTTCAACAGAACACTTTGTATGTTGAGCATGGATGACGCCGAGGCTTCGCATGCCTTCCAATCCCTCTCCCATTCTTCGGGCCATTTTGGGTTCCTTCTTGCTCGAACTGGCGTTGGTAGCATTACACCAGCGTTAATTAGCGAACCACCACCAAGCCCACAAGCCGTTAACGCTAATGAATCATCTTCTCTATGTATCTGTAATTTTTGAAATAAAATGTCCTTTTAGCTTTTTTATGTATAGAACACTCTGATAAGAATATTTTCAAATAACACCATTATATGAAAAACTAATATGATGTTTTATTTTAAAATGGGAAAAATTGCATCACAATGGAACCAACTTTCACTTGATTCCTATTTTGGAAAACCAACTTTCAAAATTGTCATTTAAAGGTCTCTATCAAACTTTTTGTTTATTTAAGAGTCTGGTTGACCTGTTGACCTGCTAATGCTGACATCATCCAGATCTTTTGCCAACTAAGATATACCACGTCATATTAATTTTTTATTTTAAAACTAATATTTCACGTCATATTAATTTTTTATTTTAAAACTAATATTTCATGTCATATTAATTTTTTATTTTAAAACTAATATTCCATGTCATATTAATTTTTTATTTTAAAACTAATATTCCATGTCATATTAATTTTTTATTTTAAAACTAATATTCCATGTCATATTTAAAATTGCAAAATAATTAGAGAAAAATAACTA